GGTTTTACTATGCGGTAAAAACCCTGGCTAAAAAACCATTTTATGAAGCTGGAATCAGCAGCAGGGGAAAACCCCATGCGAAAAAATAAATAGTCAGACCATTGGAATGAAATTGGACACGAGGGGAAGAGGTTAGAGATGAAACTGAATCAATACTTTATTTGGTCCTTCGTATACGGTTATGGTTTCCTCTCAATTCCCAAGGCAGGATGACAATGAGAATGGGAAACCATCAAATTATCGGTCGCACTGATCATTGAATACCCCTCGCACTTTACTCACAGCCTATTTTTAGTTAGTCGTCATCATCGTTGTCGTTGTCGACGGACTGTTTGCTTGTGGTAATGCTTGTAAGCATGAAGAAACTCTAAAACCCTTAAGATCAAAGGATCAGCGCTCATTACGTTTAACACGGATCGTTAAAACTTGAGATAAATGTCAAGTCATCAACAAGATTAGACACACCTCTGCCTCCTCGTCTGGTCTGAAACGATGGACATTCACTTTACACCTCGGGTAAGCAGATGCAAATTCATAAGAACACCAACCAACCCTTGTACGTATATGCAAATATAGAGGTGCAGGCCTAGCATAATATTCCTTTGTATTAAACATTTTATGCAAGAATGGTTGTATAACTTGGGATAATAAATCGATGATCACATCAAGTTTGGATCTCTATTGTCTTCGTGATGATGATAACTAGCCATAAATATATTTTATTATTCAACACTAAATTGATCCCGTTTCCCAAATCAATGGCTTCCGTAAACAACTAGGCAAATTGATGGCAAAACCACATTTCTATTTGTGTTCTCTGTCTAATTAAGCTGATGCCAGGGTAGCTATCCATCCTCTTGAAAATACAATTAAAAAAGTGCCTGTGGCCACTTTATTTCATGAAGTGCACTCTGGAATCATTGAACAAAACGCTATAGTGCTGAGTTGAACAGAACAGGATGGCTCTCCGCCGACGTGGAAAATTACTTACTGGGTGGGATGAAATGGACGTAAGTAGAACTGGACATGAGTACATGCAACTCGCATTATTTCGAAATAAACAGCTTTAAAAATTCTGAAAAAATGGTCTCGGAGATGTATTTTTTTCTGAAGAAATAGGAAAGTACAAAGCCAACTACATACACCATTCAATTTGCCAAAAACCTTACTCCCAAATCAATACAAACACTTCAATGCGTCATAATCACTAGACGTCTTCCATAATTGGCCAATTCAAACACAGCAATGAATGAACAAAGCATGGGAACGTTATTGAATCAACATTGAAAATTAAAGCATAATAACTACTTCATTTCCTCCTACTCATTGGGTTTTTATGGTAAAATGCAAAGCATACTTAGGCCTTCATAGAAAAAACATGGGAGTTATATTGTCCAGATTCTATTTCTGCTAAAATTTGCAGCACACACATAAAAGTGTTATGGCTTTGCATACATGTACTGCATACATACATGGACTGCAGTACACGCGCTGCCAGAAGACCGTGCTGGCCGAGTAATTATTAATTCCTTATGGTCAATACATTACCAAACTTGGCCAATTCACAATATTTTCCAGTGGCCAAGTCTTCTCTCATTAACCCAGAATTTTAAGTAACTTGGCCAGCAAGCAAGTAAGGAAAGAGAACATACTCACGGCGTTTTCCAGCGTACGAGGTGCACACTTCTAACCAAGATAGTGAAGATCAACGTAAAACGTTGTTTATTGCAAATTGGCGTGTTTCAAGGAAAGTTGAGGCAATATAAAAATGCAGCCCAGGAAACTTTTTCCCCCGTGTTAATGAGTTTAACCATGTCGTGTCAATATCTGTGGAAGGAAAGTATCGAGCAATCAACAAGCAAGCAATGGTCGTGGCAGCAGCAGTAGAGGCACGGCTACGTACTTTCTCTTTATACACGAGTACACAATCTGGACGAAAGCCAGATTGTAACATAACCTTGTTTCCCTCTCATGCTACAAACTTATGCCAACCTTTAGATTCCTCCCACCACGCCACCACCGCCACAATTATAGAAAGTACTCTGAGGTGATGAATCGCAACATTTCATAAAGCTATGTACATTATATGCACAAACTGGCTTGACTTGTCTCAACTGGGTCACCTCCTGTAATGTATTAGGAACGATGGAGGTAATAACAAGTGGTGAAAGGTCAAACTCGCCCTTCAATCACGCCAAATCATTCCCACCACGCCATATCCTGCTCTTATGCAAAAGTACCAAACGCATGTACATATATTCATGTATGTATAAAGAAAAATAAGCGTACAATATTTCTCCGAGGTATAAATATTTCCTTATTTAATTGTCTTTTTTGTACGTGACAGTCTTCTATAACCGAAGAACTCACGTAGTTAGTTACTTACTATGAAGCTTGCGTGTTGCATGTTTTCCCTGCTTGGCTTGCATCCCATATTGGCTTCGTTGTCATAATTGACAACCAATAATTGTACGCGTAATACTTGATAATACAATAAGAGGAATAAAAATAGGATTCGCATTATTTGATATTTAGCAAGAGCACGTTGGGAGGCTAAGCCAAAAATACTGAACCAGACAGTTCCTGATATATTCAGTTCGCCGTGAAGCAAATTTATTTTCGACGTTTGATTTATGTCATAACCTGATGATGATGATGATGAGAAGCAAATGTCGAATCATTTCATGTTTGTTTGTTGGTTTGTATATTACTTACTACACAAGTAGTCTTGTGAGGTCGTGTATTATTAATTTGACACAAAATTGGCCCACCTTTTGAACAAGGAGATATGAACTCTTCCAAGATTATTATAGGGCGCATCGGATAATCACATGAGACGAGATGTGCCTATGCAGCATGTGCTACATAAATACTACCCACGACGACGGAGGAGGATTCAATTTCACAAAAGTACATTTCATAATGATGCAAATATAATTATCATGTCTAATGGGCAAATAGTGGTCGGAATATGAAAGGAGAGCAGAGAAATTATGCATAACTTTGTGAAATGGGGTTTCTACATACATAGTAAATTCTACATTAAATAGATTTCGTGCAAATATTTAATAGTGACAAAAGTTGGGAGGAAAAGGTCGGACCTGACTTTCCCATTAAAGCGCTTTTGGATTCGGGGAGGAAAGATGGGCTCAAGTCAAGTGGATCGAGGAACGGTGGTCAGGCAACGTTCACTGCCAGAGAATCGCCGGTGTTGACAACTTCAATGTTCCACCACATCCGCCTTGCTGGGTTCTGATAAAGGACAGGTAACAAACAACATTCCACATCAAATAATCAAACAAACTGGAACATCAGACGACAAATAAAGTAAAACCAGTTACAGATTCAGCATTCATCTGTCGCAAATGTCATTTAGGCAAATGTTTTGTTTCATTTCGTGCCAAGCAGCTACATGTAATGCCACTATGAGCACCACCACAACTATTTTTGGTAGTACTACTACTACTACTGCTATTTTTAATGCTACTACTTTAACAAATAATTAACACAGTGCGTCGTAGGCAGACTGCTTCTTATTGACATACTTTGTTGTGGAGGATTAATTACTTAAATCAGATACAATGAGAGTGAAATTCTAATAATAAAGTACCAATATTCTGCTAAATAGTTCTATAGTTCGTTTCAAAGGGCTGCTGATGCAGACATTGTCACGTTTACTCATGTAACTTAATGTTCAAGACATTTGTGGAATACAAAAGAGAATGATACACTTGCGTCTCATTTTGAACAGTTACATGTTCCAAATGAAATGCAAGATATGCCAAAAAGTCGATTAGTGCTTGAATTATAAGAACTTATAAGAGCTACTAAATTATTTCATCCTCCTACACACACAATTCTAAGAATGAATTAAGCAAAATTTCATCAGCATCTTACGTTAAGATTAGTTCGGAATGAAGAAAAATGCACTACCAAAAAAACAAGAATGCACTTTCCACGGGTAATGAGTTCAAGCATGCAAACTACATATGCAACTATGCAGCAACATTCGCATCGCATTTGGTGTAACAGCAACGAGAAAATATTTATGTATGTACATGCAATTTAGTGAATATATTCTTACTCTCAAGTTTGTTAGAGACAACGAAATTCTCACAATAATTCATAACTCCTCGGCTGGATGTTAGTTTGCAACAAGGCAATCAGATGCGAACTATTTGAAGATAACAGTACTACTACTACAAGTATCAAAATGACTGACTTACCACCACGCGAACGTTGAATCCGCATGACTTTCCCTTTTAAAAATTTAGCGTCACAAAATATAAATGAGGAGACGACTTGTTTTGTATTCCGTGGACCACTTCCAAAGGTTGATCCTTTTGCGTACTTTTCCAATAAATGTATATACTCCTATAATCAGTGCGGCATAGTTTGCCTTGCTTTCTTTTCCTTCGTCTTGCTTCACCTCTCTCTCTCAGAAATGTGTTCGTTTCAGGTAAAACTATACAAATCTTTTTTACCACGATGTCTCTGTTGGTATAAATTTTGGAGAAAATTTTGACCTTGCTCAAGAGTCAAGTGAGATTAGCGTCACAGTCTCTTTTCTTCTTATTATTATTCACTTTCTCGCGACCACTTAAATATCCAGGCGTCTCGAGTCCCAATTATGAAGGGATATGGAGGTATTTTCTGGTAGTAATTTTAGGAGAACTCCGTCTCAATTTCCTCGTCTTGTCAGAGCCGTGGATTGAGTGACTGACTGGTGGTTAGTGGTGGTGGTGGTGCTGATGGAGAGAAAGTGAGTGGAGATCGGACTGTGTACCGGAGCCAAGTGGTGTTTTTGCGGAGATCTGCAGGGCTTTATACACGAGTGAAATAAGGTGAGAGGGACCACAGGCAGGCAGACCGAGGATTTCAGGGAGAGAGTTAGTTGGAGAAATTCTTGGGTTGTTGGAACGAGGTAGACAGAGTGACTCCGAGACGTGGCAGTGGTTGTGTGAATGTGTGTGGGGATCTGGATTTGTGTCCACTGCTTTCTCCACTGCTTTCTCTCCGCTCTCATTTACCACCACCTCCTTCCTACGAGCAGGAGACGCTTCTTCTTCTTCCTGATTTTTACAACCACTTTCCTGCGAGAAGAAGTATGTAGAAGAACGTTGGAAAGAAAACATGGCCTTATTCTTGGCTGGATTACTTCGTTTTGTACCCTATTTTTATGTAAAGCCAAAAATGTCGGTTGGTTGAAAGTAATACATAAATTTGCGTCGGGATAAGATTCGATGAGATTGGAGAGCAGAATTTGTTTCTCGGGTAGGAACGAGAGAGAGATAAGCTGGGGAAATTGTATGCATTTCAGTAACGTATTAAATACGTAATGTAGGAATGGCTGGGAACAAAGGGGACCGAATTGCTCCCCCTGGTCACATTTTTCTGTTTACTTGTACTCAGTATTTTTAATCGTGTTCTACTTTCGGTTTTGGTAGAGAAAGGTTGGCCAAGAGAAAGCAAGAAATATTTACAAGACGGGAATCTCACTTGTGGCGGCTCACTCGGTAAATAAAATGCGGGTGAGTTGCATATCTCGACGAAGAAATGTACCTCATATTTGGGGAATTTTTATATTTTTTTTAATTGTAGGATTTAAATTGTACTTTTCTAGTAATTTCCAGCAGCTGACCAATCCAAAAAATAAGACATCCGGTCGCATGAGTGTGTTATGATAAGTGGAATTACGTCGGCAACAGGAAGACATTTGTTTCTTCGAGGGACACCAAGACTTGTTAATTTCGTTTGGCTGTTTAGCGATAATGGAAATAATGTCGTCCTTGATAAGAAGTGTCATATCCACAATGCTAGACATGACTTGAACAATACTGAATTTCGTAGAATCCACACCAATTCGACCGATAAGAAGAAGCCATCAGCTTCAGAAGTAAGTAATGTAGCTAAAGATAAGAATTATAATTGTGCAATAAACTTTACTAACTAATTTCCTTCTCCAGGTACTGACATGTTACCTGACACAGACCAATTTCCCTCCATGGACCTCATATTTCATAAAATACGAAAGTATCGTTGATGACCAATGGGGTGGTTCACATTTTAATTGGACGGTGAAAGACGGTCACAATTACCACATTTTGAGAACCGGGTGCTACCCTTATATCAAGTACCATTGTACCAAACGACCTTATCAAGATCTTAAGATTGAGGACACATTCTTCCGTGTCATCAAAGTGTTGAATTTAGGTATGTATGATAGTAATTTACTATTTGTAATATTTTAACTAACTGAAATATTAAATCTTGTGATTGTCAGGCCTCCCTTGCTTGGCATATGGAGTGGCGGCCACGTTTCTTCTCAAGGGGACGCAAGCCTACGTCGAAGATGTCCTCACATCCAAGGGAATCGTGACGATTTACTTCCTATATAAAGAAGATAAAGGTTCCATGTACTGAAACGGCGATTATGTGTTTAGTAAATTCTTGTCATTAGTGTTAGTTATTTTAGTTAGTTTCGTTTTATTTGTATACATATCTTAAGATAAACTGGTATTAAATTATCACAACCAAGTGAGTTTAAGTCTATCACGGGTAATTTGACTATTGGCATGATTTTATGTTGCTTTTGGCATTAAGAATCTAATTGGAAACGATATTAGCTAGTGACAGTTAATTTAGTGCTTCTAAGGAACGGCTCTCATTGTTTTTTAAAATTTATTCATAAATTCTTTCACATTTTAAATAATATATTCAAGCTGATTAAGTTACATTGTTTGAGGCGCAAAGCTATGAAAATAAAGCTATATATGTAAAAGGCACATTTGGAAAGAAGCAATTGAGTAATTAAAAGTTGTTACATAGTAGTATGGAAAATATAAATTTTAAAGGATCGAACTTTTTATGATATAAAACGGTAATGGACCCAGTATCACGGTATAAAACTAGACTGACTAAATCTTCTCATAATCATCCTCCCACTCCCAAATGCGCAAGTTTCCATCGTCCGAAGTTGAAACCAAGATGTCCTCGTGTACAGGATGCCATGCAAGACAATTGACATCTGCAATCGATACCTTGATTGCGAAAACTTGTTCAAATCTGTTTCGTTCCAGCTCATTCATTGCCATCAGTTCTTTGAATATGCGAATGTGATTGTCTCCACAAGCTGTGGCGATGAGTCCAGTTATCTTATTCCATGACACGTCGTAGATTGTTCTTTTGTGATAACCACCAAGGGTGCAAACACAAACCCATGTCTTTTGCGAAGTCTTCTCCCAGATCTTCACAGTCTTGTCATCTGAACAGGATACGAACCTATTCCCCGTAGAGTCAAAGTTGATACCCCAAACTGTAGAGTTATGTCCCGTTAAGGATGTGATCGTAGACCAATCTCCATTGTCAATATCATTTTCGTATAGCTTGATAGTATCATCGTAGCTTGCAGACACCAAAATATCCTCGTATGGATGCCACACTACTCGTTTCACGTCTTGCGTATGACCTGTCATAACACCGGCACATTCCACATCGACGTCGTCCTTCTCGATAATCAATGTCCTAAGCAAAGAAGAAAACGAAGTGTAAAATAAGTTTCAATCCCACTTCAAACGCCCATAAAGATTTAAAACTCCTCCTCATAAATATATCTTACCATATCATGACATTCTTATCTCTTCCACAGCTAGCAAAATACTTTCCAGAAGGTGACCAAGCCACACTCTTCACCTCATTTTCATGCCCCTCCACTACTGAAATCATATCAAACTTCCCCTTCTTGATCTCCCAAAGTGTTACTTGAGCATCAAAGCTGGCCAGAACTACAAATTTCCCACATGGCGACCACGCCACGTCCCTCACGGTCTTTTGATGAGAGGTTTCCGCAAACTTTGATTCCGAGGTCAATGACCATTTTCCATTGTCAGACTTGAATTGCCAAACCTTGGCGATTTTGTCCTCTCCACATGAAATCAATTTATCTCCGTTCGGATTCCAATCCAAAGACCACCCTTTCCCCACGTGGGCTGGCACCACTTGCACCAGTTTCAGCACCATGATTTCTATCAAATTAATGAAAATTAATGAAAATCAGGTAATCAATCGTAATAAAGTTATCTGTTCATAATTTCCATTCCCCAACAAGGACCCTGCATCCTTACCCCTTTAGAAACAGTATTTACTTACCTTTTCAATTAGTTTTCACAATACTAATTTTTCCGGTTTAATTGTGCTGAGGAAGATTTGACTGTGACAACAATTTGCGAACAAGTGCAAATCACGGGAGCAAAAGTGAATTCAACTCGCCGCGCTGGCCAGGGAACTGTTGGACTGCTCTCCTCAGTGGAGGAAAAGTTGGAGAAAGTGATCTCGTTTTCATCCGATGGATGGAATCAGGATCTCTCCTCCTCAAACGGTAGGAGAAAGCCAGGAAATCGTACGAAATGAACAGTTTCGCCAATATATACTGAAATGGGCGAAAGTTTAGAGAACCATGAAGAGCTGCATCTACTTTGTGCGACGAAATGTTCATTCATTTTCATGAGCGTTACTACACTTCGTAAATGTGAATGCAATCGTGCTAACTGACAAATTTAAAATGAACAAAAATGAGAATAACACTGGACTACTTTCAGAGAAAGCTATTTCGAAACTTTGCCCACATTACATAACTGTTCCCATTATTGTTCACTTTGTTCGTGGGCCAAGTCGTGGGTGCCTATTACTCTTTCAAAATAGATAGTGATCAATAGAAATCCACCTAACGAAGCCTAAAATTAGGTACTGACAAAACTTCTCGGATTAGTGGCAACTAAGTGATAAAGTTGTGATAAGGAGAACAGCTTTACTTGATCGCACAGTTAATGCGAAGGAGTGGAATTATTTCATTTCATGTGGAAAACATAACTGACTGACCCAGTTTCTTTTTTTACTGCGGAATCGACAAAGATGTTTCTGTCCAATCAATACAAAAAATCTGATGAGGGGTAGCACTGGACGCTACAATTCTGTTGCTGTTCTCCGTCCTGATCCAGTTTCTGTTAACGATATTAATAACAGTTGGCAGTATTAATATCTTTATTCTCCTCCTGCTGCTGGACAGTCAGTTTCTCTCTATATCTATCTCTCTCTCATCATCCAAAAAAGTGCCGAACACGCTTGTCAGGAAAGGAGAGGAAAGAGCCAAAAAGTTTGCAAAGAAAAGTGGCAATTGGGCCAGGATACGCCAATTTTATTATTATTTTAACAAGAGATTCTTTTTCTTTCTCTCCTCGACCGTCCGTCCGTCAGGCTTGTCTCAAAGTTATTAAATTATTATTTTAAGCCATTTTTTGTGCACCGTACAAAAGATGCCCAATCTAATTATGATTACATGTCAAGGTGTTTTACAAGGTGTCTCGAGATTTTAAAACCCTAGCGCCTTCAAAAGTTAAAATCATGACCAATTGGTAACAATGTATAACGCAGAAGATCCATAAATCCAGCATTCCTTCATTTCATCCGCGTATGTTTGGGCAGTACTTCCACTGATGATGGTTGCAGATTATTTTACGAGCTACATATCCCCGTCCACGCTTGTTTATTTTAGACTTCCTTTCTCTTTCACAGGGGTGAGATTCTGGAAATCAAACGGAAACGGGAAAGAAGTGACCAACGCATAGCATCGTCTTCATCATTTATTCCCACCGGTGCTCTGCGATGGAGAAATGTACACCAAATTTCTGTACATCGTGAACACCACATCGCAGTGACTTGTACCATTTCAAACGTTAAGACATTCAGCATGTACGTACGTTGGTTGATAATAATAAACGAGCAGTGTCGTCCTGCTTCTGCACAAATATGTACGAGGTGAATCCAAATCTTGTCGATATATGGAACTCGATATGGAAAGGAAAGTAGAATTTAATGGTATTTGCACAGCTGCGTGTTAAACCAGAGTTGAGAAATTGAAGTGTAAACAGTAAGCGTTAGTTTTTGGTGGTGCTGCAAAAAAAGAAGAACTGCGACATGACATTCATCACTAAATACTTGAGTGATGATGAGTTGCAATTTTTTTCGGTTACATATGCATAAACCCAAGAATTTCGCATGTACGTATATATAATCCGCGTCCATACATACGGGTCTAGAAAGGAGCAAGCTGAACATGCTATGAGTCTATTGTTTTACGGTGGCAAAGTAAACAATACATTTATGACCTCCTTATTACCGATCATAGAGCATGTAAACTGTATGCATGTAAACTGTGAACTTGTACATAGCTGGAGGTTAGTGGAGCATTTAGTTTCTTATTACGCCACGATAATGGTAGCAGATTGACGTGATGATTATGCTTTATTATAAAGGTGGACAATTTTATGCGAATTTTACGACAGTAAACATAATCCGTTCCATCCTGCATTCCACTTTTATCATGTCCAGGCTTATAAAACGCGAAATTTCACTCATAATCAACATGCAAGAAAATATATTCAGGACATAATTCCATACTCGTAAAATGAGATAGGAAAACAAGCCCCCAGTCCTGTCGCTATAAAATCCTAACCTATATTATAATCCGGGATTATTAATCCCATATACTCAACCTGACTCGGTGATCATATTGGTTTTTACTAAAAGAATTCAACTAAAAATCCAAAACCTCTTATTTCTACAGTTGTTTGCTGCTGAAAGGTAAATGTTTCTAGGAAAAAAGACATGCAAACTTTTTTCGACTCAAAGATTTGCCTGCACCCCTCCCGTCGTCCATCCATCCATACCACCGCCAAAAACTTTCGCTCACAATGCAACTGTGGTCTTTTTGTCGGAAGTTTTTATTGCTTGATGGGATCTTATTCCAGTCTTTACAGTATATTACTACTACAGACTGCTTCTTACTTGGAAGCGTTCGTAGTACATACAGCGAGCTAAAGTCAAAGACCTCCTCAATTCCGCTGTATTCTAGTCGATATCTTTCTTTCTTCCAAACTCACTCACTCACGGACGGATAGATTGGTCGGTTTGGTAGTGGGGTTAGAAGACGAAGAAGAGTGGATAATGCTAGTTGTAAGTTGAAGAGATTTCATGATACGTATGCACGTAACCGTGGCATGAAGAGAGAGAGGGTTTGATTTGGATTGGAGAAAGGATGGCAGTAAATCCAGTCGTTGTGATCACGAACAACAGGGAACGAGTGGAAAAGTTTCCTTCTTCTTCATCCAACAATTCGAAACCCATTCGCACAAGGAGAATAAGAAGAGGAAGATGACGACGAGGACGAGGACGACGATCGTCGTCGTCGTCATGTCTCTGCCCATTCAATGTCTCTCGGTCTCTCTCTTTCTTGGGTAATAATGGAATATTATTTTATGTGATGCGATATGACATAGCCTGCATTGCTCGAGAAGTTGTTGTATCACATCCTCTGCTAACAACGTCCAGCTCGTTGGGTGAAAGTGAAAGTAGTTGTGTAACTTTCATTTTCATCGATATCGACGTACAATCCTTCTTTTATTACTTATCGCCTCCTGCAACGTTTTACAAAATATTGATGGGGCGATAAAAATGTGAGTAATCTTAAACAAGTCGAGTTTTGGAATTGTATATTGCAATGAAAGGTTACGTTTACGCGATAAATTTGGTGTTGGGCTAGAAGAATCTACGAAATTACAACAACAAAACATCACCCTCGTAGATACAAGTCAGAAGAAGGTAACAGTTTTCAAGTTGGAAACTGACTGACTGAATTAGTGTCTGACTTTCTCTTCTCGTGATTCGGACGCTATGTCGCTCAGCACGCTAGGGGAAGTTTATCCCAAGTTTGCTCCGAGTTGTTGTAGGGAAGGTTGTGTGATGGTAGGTATATCAGACTCCGATCACTTCACCACTTTCTCGGCTGCTCGTTTAGTTGGTGTCACTCTCTGTCCGGGAATTGCAGCTCGTGACGAAGGATTCTGGTCAAGAGTGGAAGATCGAGTTGTACGGCGTCTCCCTCCAACGTGCTCAGCCACTCGTTGAATTCGCGTCCGATTTTTTCAATGTGTTCCAACACGACTTCGTCATCCGTCTTCTGATATCCTTTGGGGTTGTACACTTTGTACAGCGGGTTGGAGATTGGCCTCGAAAAGTCGCAAACCCCGGCTTGTTCCTGGTCTTTCTTATTCTTCCTGTGTCTGTTTCGGTTTGTCGCCTTTGGCTCCTTTGCGGCGATGGTGGCCAGCAGGACAGCTGCTGGCACCCTGGCAAAGTCCTTCTGCACCCGTGTCTCGGATATTTTCCCGATTAGTTCTTGATACGGACTGTCCCTCTCACTGCTGCGAATCTGATTCTTCTCTTCCCTCTCAACGACTTCGGAAACGGATTTGACACCCAAATCCTCCTCCACGACTCTGGTGAAAATGGGAAAACAGATAGATAGAAATCAATGCTTATTGCTTCCTCCTTCTCCTCCTCCTAATATAATTTAATTAATACACTTACAAGGGAACCTTAAGTACTGTCACCTCTCGATTTCCTTCCAAATAGCCTTAATCGACAGATAATTTAGTGAAACTAAAACTTTGTCATAGAACATGCGGTGCAAAATCGCATTTTCGCGAAATATTTGGCGAGAACTGCACCAAAACCTGCCATTTTCCCAATGCTTTTAAAATGTCCATCAGCCTTTCGAATTATGAAATGAACTTTGTAGAATCTTAATAAATTATATTTGTACTCACGTAATTTCAGCCCGATCACGAATATGCAAAAAATGATGCAAAGATTTGAACATTTTTTGCAAATTGAGAAAATCTGCAAAATTTCGCAAATTCGAATTTCTTCGTTTTTTTTTTAAATTCAACAAATTTATCAGTTTAACTGATACAAAACATATTTTTCTTATTGCAAAAAATTTGCAAAAGTTTGCAAAAATTGAAGGTTCCAATGTTTAAATTTTATAGAAACTTAAAATTGTCACATATGTAGGTATGAGCGAATAAAACCAAAGTTAATTTGTTGGAAAATTAAAACATGCAAACATTGCAAAAAATTCTACATATTCAATTAAAAAATTGCACCCTGTAAGTTTTTGCAACTTGCAAAAATAAATACCGCAAATAATTTCGAAAAATACGTAAAAATAGACTAGCATTGGTTATTTAACTTACTTTCATGAAAAATTTGCTAAATTCAGTTTTTGCAAATTTTTGCATTTTTTTTGCAATAAGAGAAATGTTTTGTATATCAGTTAAACTGAAAAATTTGTTGAATTTAAAAAAGGAAGAAATTCGAATTTGCGAAATTTTTCCGATTTTCGCAATTTGCAAAAAATTGGCAAAAGCTTGCATCACTTTTTACATATTCGTAATCGGGCTGAATTCACGCGGACGGGTAACTATATAATTCAATATTCCTTAAAGTTCATTTCACCATTCGAAAGGCTGATGGCTATGTTAAAAGCATTGGGAAAATGACAGGCTTTGGTGCAGTTCTCGCCAAATATTTCGCGAAAACGTGATTTTGCACCGCATGTTCTATGATAAAGTTTTAGTTTAACCAAATTATCTGTCGATTAAGGCCATTTGGAAGGAAATCGAGAGGTGACAGTACTTAAGGTTCCCTTGTTAGTAGTTAGACCCTCTCTTGTGTCAAAATTACGGGGAGAAAGTGCGCCTGCTGTGTGTGTGTGTGGGTGATGCGATTCTGATCCCTAATCTGGAAGGTACTACTGACGCAAAGTTTCGAATGGGCTGTGATTTACTTAATTCTCTTAAAATGAACTCAATGTTGGCTTCAGTGTTTCATTCCCTTAATTTCTTCACCGTTGAAATGAAGTCAAGTCAGTGAGTAGACTCAGTCAGTAGTCCCACTGGATTGACGATATAAATGAAACACAACAACTGAGCCGTTGCTTAACTTATCCTTTATCTCAAGAGCATGCAGAAGGCCAGTAATAGATCGAAACAGATCGTATCCCAAGCAATTCAAGGCCAACAACGGAGCGAAGCAGGATGATGAGAAACAACAGAGAAAGTTTTCACTCAGGAAGCTCTCGTCTATATATTCGAATGGAATACTAATTACCACGCACATCATACGTATACTTTCTCTTGAATGCACGTGTATGCAATTTTTAAGGTTGTCATGCAATACAGATATGCATGTAAATATATGCAATTCTTACAAAAACTAATTATACAGGTCCTTTTCATTCTCTTTATCTTGGAAAAAGTTAATGGTCTCGGTGTAACGGGATAGAATGGATACTTTAGTGGAGTCACTTCACCACAAAGTTTTGCCTGCTCGAGTAAAATCAGATTGTCACATTTTTCAGCAGTTCGTTCAGATTTACAGTTGTAAAAAATCCATTTGAATCTTATTTCCTGCATACCTTGTAGCAATTCAAATGTAAAAAATTCAGGAGGCAAAGGAGTATCTCGAAATGAAATGAATAGTTTAAATCTGCAGTAAAGTACTTGAGTCTATAATTTTATCATAATTTTGCCATAAATTCCTACATATTTGGGGACTTTTCACAGCATTCTAGTAGAATGTGCATCCATTCTTCATGATTAAGTCGATAGATATAGGTATTCTCAAGGTATCGTTATTGAAGAAAAAATATTCAATTTTCATAAGAATCGCATATGAATACCTTGTTGCTTATCTCAATATGGAGGTACATACAGGTTGGTTGGTTCCAAGAACCGCTAGTATAAAAACATACCGAGAGAATGAAACGGTTTTCTTATGACCTTTGCCCTCCTTTTATTCGCTGTCTCTCTGAACCGAAGTGAACTAGGATATCACAAGTGCTTACCCTATTTTTGTGCCTGGTCGTTGAATAGGAGGCGTTTTGGCGAGGATTTTCCGACAAATGGGAAATAGATGAGAGCAGAGAGGTTCATTTTTCTGCCTCAAAGTGATCCCCAGAGAAGCTTGGTGTAAATAAGGTGACGCCGACAAGTGATGAAGGTATCTCCTTCCACCACCACCACCAGTGGCCCTTCGTTCTCCTACAGTATCTTGATCGGCCAATAATGAGGGCAGAAAGGGGAGGGTGACACTCGTCGTATGCTTGTTATTCACCCGTTCCTTGGCTTTTTCACACTCCAAATCCTCCTCTGACCTCGGACGACCAATCTCAGCAGCCTCGTCGTCGTCACCGTCACCACTTTGCTTGTCACTAAAGTCTGCAGATAGTAATGTGCCAATTCCCCTGCTCCCACTTGACTCACTCCAATTTGAACTGTGGTTGGGATCGCCTCCTGTCACCGTCCCCCCATCGCTGTAGTTGTCGATGTTGCCTTTATCGACATTATCCCAGCCCTTCTGAAGTATTGACGTCAAGTAATGTAGGCTTTTCGGAGGCAGATGGTTCTTAATGTCGGCAAGGGCTAGGCTAAAATTGTCTTCCAACGACATGTCCTACTTGATCTTACTACCAAACAGTGTAAGGTCTTAGACAGAAGTGAACTACTGGAATTATTTCTCAACTTCAAAATATAAACTGGAGTAAATAATAGAAAATGCAGCCACAACAAGAATAAGAGAAAAGAGTAAGCGTAAGTATGTATAAAGTATTGATTGCCAACGCCGCCTCGCCCGTTAGTAACTGGCAGTGACAGGCACGGCGAGAAAATCAAGACTTGCACATCAAAATAGTACTTTCCTCTCTTGTTGTATGTATGTACATGACCTAGAAAAAGGAGTGAAAGTAGACCAATCGTGAGATATGTATGCAATTTGATTATTTAGAGTTTGACAGACACCCTCCCACATAATCAATGATCTTTTACAACTGCAAGTGTTGTTCTGGAAAATGAATGGTTGAAAGTAAGAGTGAGGTTGTTGTTGGGCTATAATTATCTTACACCATCCGCCCAGATGCATATCATTTAACGAGGCTTGTAACATAGATTTAATTCTAAGGTATAGGTTCATCCCAAAGTGGAAGTAAATCCTTTGATCCCTAAATTTACCAACAATTTCCGTTCGTGCAGCATCAAGTTGACACTGTCAACCACCAAGAGAACGAGGTTGGTTGTTGAGTTTTGTCCTCCCAACTTGGCTTTCCATCATGTCCAACAAACAAGAGTTACAAAATGGATAAGAATCTAAAACGAAAATTCGTATGTACATATTTCTTGGTGTAATGTAATCCAGACGTTGTTCTGTTGGGACAAGAAGAATCTGATAATAATAATGCAAAATAGGTACAAATTTAAAGCGCCCAGTAGCTAAGATTAGTTTGCAACTAATTCGTGGAAAATCCGGTCGGAATGTAAATAAAGTTGCGGTTTGACCAACCAACGTCGCAGGCGTGGCACACAAGAAGAATTCGACTAGCGATCCACACTTTCACGAACCTCAGCTAGCTCCCCTAAAACCACCACCACCAACCAAATAATTAGTGAGACAGAAGGGATTTGCTGCACAATTTGGCCATGTTCTCGTCTCCACTAAACCACCGCCGACCCTCTCCAACTTACAATTTCCTGTTTTCACCTCCTCATCCTCTTATTGGGAACGACGCGTTCCCCTCCTTGTTCCAATATGCTTGGCCTCTTTTTCCGGATTCAATAACAATCCGCTAAATTAATTCAAGGATTGGTCAGTAATTTGCAGCTTAACAATGCCTGTCGTGGTGGAAATATTAGCTTAAGGATTTCCTCGCTTAATTTTAGTCAGCAATTTTCACCAGAATCCATGGATTAGTTAAGAATGGGCGACTGGAATTGAAATGCCATAACTTATTTAAGTACGGAAAGTCGAATTAATTTGCCAAATGTTACGTAAAAGTATTTGCTTGTACGAGCAGGCCTTCAGCTGCTTTATGCTTTCTTTCTGTCTTGCAGACCATAGCTACAACTCGCGTAGTGCATTTATTTAAAAGGAAAATTGTCTTTTCAAATCGCTGTTTAAGTGCAGCCGTAAATTTTCATGGAGTCCTTTCCTGTTTTGAACAGACTTGTCTCCTTCTGAGAAAATAAAGTGATGGTCACTTCCTCGATGTTGCGTAGGTTGGAGGCGACTGGATTCCCAAATTTTAGCATTTCCTGTTTTCTATTGCATAGAATTTGTCACTTGCCAAGCATATCCTTCTGCACAGAGTGCCAATCCTACATATTATTTGGCGGTAGACTACTTTGTGCAACTGAAATTGCTTTTCTACTTTCTTAGTAGTAACTAAGATGTCAAGAGAATTTTCAGATTTTACGCTCGTGTACAAAAATCCTGCTGTAATACAACCCTCATTTCGCCCTAGAACACAGATCAATATAAAGCAATTCAAAGGAACGCGACACAGGTTTATAAGTAATCGTGAGACGACTTGGCTCAAGAATCATCCATTTTACTGAAACAAGATCAAGATCCAATTGAAGTCGTCGAGTCGAGATCAGAAGAAGGAGAGAAAAGTGGAGGAGGAGGCGGAGGACGACGACTGTGGCTTTTGAGCTCTCCATGCTCACTTATAAAACGGGGGTGGTGGGTGCAACAACGGGGATACTATTAAAGACTGATTTGTGATAACTGCCTCCTCTCTCTCTCTCTCTCTCTCTCTCTGTTGTACTTTCAGGGACGCTTTAAAACTACACCATGTCACCAAAGCACAACTGGGACAAATAAACTTTTAGTTTCATTTATCTTTCCTAAATCTCAAAAGTTTTCAGGAAGCAAAACAGGCGGTCCGAAACCGTTGGATATTTTATACTTTAGACTAAAGGCGAAATCTTGTTAATTATTTTAAACATGTGATAAATAATTCTTTCGCAAGATTAGGGACGATTTTTAAGCAAATATTTCAGCTGAAAGTATAGGTATAGAAGTTTAACTTGGGACAAAATAATTGGACCAGTTTTATTGGAAGGGCTAAGGTATTATTATTGTCGTGAACGTTGGTGCTTATTTCGGCTGCATTGTTGGGTATCTGCGATTAAGGACAGCATTCTCTGGTGCTCATGGAATAATCGTTCTCATGAATTTAACATTCCCCACGGCTTCAAACTGTGTCGATATAGATAATGATACGCTAATCTTCTCATGTTTCATTGATGGTCCGTATACGTACGTACATACGTGTGAAGAAGATCTTTTACCATTTGTGTTGCTGCTTTGCTTTCCTCCTCCTCTCGAGTTTTCCATTTATTGCAGGGTCTCACTTTCCTTTCTCCATGGATGACGGTGGCGTTGATCTGTGTGTGTGTGGAATCGATTTCTAAAATTTGCATTTTGTTTAAAGATTGTTAAGGGACAAAGGTGTTTCTGTGGCCTTAATTTTGACCATGTTGCCAGCATGGAGGATTTGTGAAATTTCTTTTAAAAAATCGTACAAGTCTTCTTCTTCATTTTTATGTATGTCTCAGAAATCCTCCATGTTGGCATCGATGTGAAAATCACATCCGAAGGGGGTAGGTTTTGACAAAATATGCAGTACTCAAACCCAAAAATACCAAATTATGGTAACTATGTAACATATTTGAATTTTATTTTATTATCGTGATGATAAAATTAGCCCGAGCCAGGACTTTTGGAACCGTCGTGTCCGTCCTTCTGTCTGTATATCAGGATTATGATAACTCCCGTTAACCTTATCCTATCGACTTGAAATTTGGTACACATGTAGTATGGGGCAAATAGTGAGTTAAGCTCGAAGATGAGCAAATCAGTTAACTGGTTGACCGGTGTGGGTCGTCTGGATGGGAGTATCACCAAAAGTTCAAAATTATCACAGAAAGCTGAAATTTGGTACAGAGATTACTAATGGCTTCTAAAAGAAGAATATTGATTGAGATGGGAGAACTTTTTGTCTGGAGGGACCCGAGGGGGTGACCCGTACCGATTTTTTAAAATCGTCATATCCAGTTGAAATTTGGTAAAGAGAGTAAAGATTTTAATGCATAATCTTTCTCATGAAAGATTATGCATTAAAAGTGAGCAAGGTGTAACCAGAGTGGCCAATAGGGTGACCCCTTCCTTTCTAAAAGTTGGTATTCTAAAAGTTGCTAGACCGATATTAGAGACATTGGTCATATGCACTATTGATTGGGAAATGGTTAAGCGTGATGGAATTTCTCCAAAAACACGTGCGGGCTGAAATTCAAATCAAATCCATCATCCATTTCCCAACCAATATGCACATATGTGTACAAAATTGTACAATAGCTGCATCCATAGTCCGTGATTTGTTAGTGATTTGGTGATGCTTTCACAGGTTCATGATTTCAGCATGTTAATCACCATCAGAATTATAAAATCGACCAATCAGAAAATCGGAATAAAAATATTTTTGAAAATTATGGAGTATGGATGCAGGAAACCATCAAATTATGACGAAATCATGAACAAATCACGGACTATGGATACAGCTAATGTAATGACCGAATTACTATTTGAATCACCCAGTAGGGTCACCCCCACTGGTTTTCTAAAACGGTAGTAGAAGACTGAAATTTGTCATGATCCTGTAGGGATATGCCAGGTTAATAAATATCAAGTAAATTAAAAGATTTTTTTTGCCATGTGGACCTAGCAGGGTGACCCATACTGGTTTTAAGAATTGTAATTTTCAGCTGAGAAATTTTTAGCCTCCATACCATAGCAATTTTTAAAACTACGTCTGCGTACGAAATACAACTTTGGATGTTCAAGATTTTAAAGAAGCGAGCCCCACGGGTGACGGGTGCTGGTGGTGAAGGGGGCAGATTTGTAATTACTTCAAAAATTTAGAAGCGGATACTGGTCCCGACTAGGACTAAATGAGATCTGTACTGTAGTTTTTTTTAAATAATTAATATTACTGGTAAATACCATACGAAAAGACATGAGATTTTGAAATTAACAGAAATATGAATAGCTCGGCTCGGGCTATGTCAAGTTCACCGTTGTTGAGTTAAAATTAAAATTAAATGGTTACAAATCGGCTCGTGGCAACAAAAAAAATGGGTGCTGCAGGGCCCAGGAAAATTGCTTATCCCTTAATAATCTTTGGCCATTTATTTGGTTATCCATTTTCTCACACTTCGATAAATGACATGGGAGGAATTATTTGGAAAATGCAGTAGTAAGTTGTGCCATCGCTTGAAATAAATCCAATCTGAACAATGTCTCCGAGTAGAGTTGGTTAGTTGCAGCAGTTTTCTCATAAATTGGCACAGTTGCAATTTATAAGTACTTCCTCGAGGAGACTTGTGTGTGTGAAAGCGTGGGACAAAGTTTGACCTAAAGTGGTCAGTTTTTAGTGATATGCATACTTATCTTGCAGCAGCACTTTCCTTCCTCCCGAACTGGTCCAAGATCTGACTCCATGTCACCAAACAAGACTGCACGTGTAAAAAAACCACTTCCACTCAACCGCTGGGTCTCCATCCCCCGGACAAAACTTAGTTTTTAGTCGGAGAGAGTTGATGTAAACTCTGGAAGTTTGCTACTTCATGCGCTTGCTGATAATGATAACAAGATAAAGGATGGAGATAATTCTTGTACTCGTGGAGCAATATATCATGAATTTCTCTCCCTCCATGCATCCCTGCTTTCCTGGATAAACTTATAATACTCATCCTCCGTCCGGACGACTTTTCCAGCCAGCTTCCGCGATCCTGGTAAGTAAAGTTTCTTCTTTTCCTCCTTCCGTGCACAGCAGTTACTTACTTATTTCTTTAAAGATTTAACTGCACCCAAGCAGCCAAGAGTCATGTCATGAGAATACTCTTTTGTAAACACGGACCTCGTCGCTTGGTTTTTCGAAGATCTCCTTCTGTCTGTATACAATGTCCGTAGAATCCGGAAAATGTGGCATGAAAAATAAAGGGGAGTACGTAAAAGAGAACGTTTCATGCAGCGGATTTGCGCACGTGCTACTCTGGACGTGCGGTTTTGGTCCAATGTGCGAGATTGCTCAAGTGAACTAAACTGAGCTACCCAGAACGAGACGACTGTCAGTTTCGCCACAGTTCTTGATCATTTTCCATCTCTGCTTCAGATCCCTCTCGTCCTCCTTCTCAGCCAGCCTCGCGATATAATATTTCTCGCCGATAACTCATCACTCACCAACAGCACCGACGACAAGGAGAACGTCTTCTCAGTGCTGCATTCCTCTCACTCAACTCCTCCATTTCTACGACGATTAGTCCCACAACGAGCCAATTGTGCGAAAGAAGAAACACTCTGAACAAGCAAAAGAGCAAATCTATAACCCTTCTCCTATGATTTGAATTTAGTGAGAACCAGTTTTTCTTCTCACCCACCGTCATCACAGCCATCATCATCAATAACATTTGAACTCCTTTTGTGTGCCTTAATCGGGGTAAGAAAGTGGACAACTGTTCTCTCAACAATAAAGTAGTAGCTGCCGCTTGGTGGTGAAAACTGGCTCGTTTTTGACGAATAAAAACCAACAATGCAACAAAGTTTGAGATTGTTGGGATGAAAAAAATAAAATAATGCATTCCATTATTGCCGATGAGGAGCACACGATTCACATTTGACTTCAGCCGTAGTAAGTATATACGAAGGAACATAAATTTTCTCCTGGGAATTTGAGACAGACATGAACGGACCACCACCACGGCTGCTTAATCGTAGCATTATCGCAGTAGTAGAAGTTGGGAAGGAAATGGGGATACAGTTTCCACCACCACGACTGCTTCATCACCACCACATCACGTCGGTATTTCAGTGAGATGACATAGGAGAAAGCAGACGAAGAAAACATTGTGTTGTATGTAATGCAACAGCAGCAGCGGGGCAAGGGTAGACGTTCCGGTGGTGGAGAAAGCAATATAGGATCCCACCTGCCTTTGTTCTGCTCTACTTTAACACTCTCATCCATCAACCCTTCCCAACATAATTTCCCACTTGCTTAGTTTAGCACCCAATTACTCATTGTGGTGCTTCGTGGTGTGTTTCGTGCAGTAGTGAACTCATCCAACAGACTGGAGTCATTAACTCTGTGATGAATATTATCTTCTGGGTATAAAACATTCAACCCGTGCTACGATTCGGCTCGGCGTGCTTAATCTTTAATCTATGTGGGTACCAGGTAAAAACTTTGTTGAGATTGGTTTACCCCGTGAATGATGGCACAACAGAGACAAAGTATCTTCACCTTGGGTAGAATCCACCACCTTAAAATGCTAAATATCAGCTCCTTTGCTCAAACAGAGTTTTTCAAAATTAGTCGAAACGAAAGTGATTAATACCGTGTGTACTCCACATCTGTCATGACTTGAACTTGTTGAAATGCACACAGAACTTGAACATTCTTCCTCCAACCTGTCTCTCGCCCTCTCAACTATTTATAAACGGCAGCCCAAATCATTTAAAACTTGGTGGTAAAGAAGTTTCCACCACAAAATAAATGCAAAATGCTGACTGTCTTCTTCTCCCTGCGTGGAATGACGTTGCCGTTGCCGTGTCGTCGTTTTCGTCCTTCGACTTGTAGTTCACCTCAACAAAGGAGAAAAGGAGAACACAGCGAGAAGAACTACATAGCACTATTCTGACTGAGAGTGAAATTAGTTAGACTTTTACCTTCGCCCACATTCTTCTTCTAGATGACTGCGTGGCTGTATGCAGAGCAGGTAAGCTCAGTCCTACTCATTTTCTCCAGAGAGAACAAGTCAACTCAACTTTCTCTCTCTCTCTATCAAAACCAGTGGACCAACTATTTCTTGGTAATGCAAAGCTGGGCAAATTAAAGAGATCACCAAGTGAATGGTGAAAGGGAAAGGTATCAAAATTAGTTCTTCTTCTCATGCGAGGACACGACTGAGTGAAAAGAATTGTAGAAATATTGGCACTTGAAGCAATCTATTTTTCTGTCGGGCATATAGATTACTTATTTCGCTGAGGTTTAATGTACATTTTTTGGACAAGAATTAGCATTTCCCTTCATTGTCTAGTCATCAAATATTTCCGCTTGAAGATTGCAAAGTCAGGGAGGAGGAGGATAGTTGGGAAACAAAAGGGTTCTTGTCATTGGTTTTGGTGAGAATGATGTTGTTTGCACTGTGGTGGAGAGAGATAGAAGTCGTCGTCGTCAGCGGTGGTGAATAAAATTGATTCCATTCAGTGCGGTTGCTTTGCTGTGGTGGTGGAAAAGGCAGGACATGAGAAAGAAGATTCCCGACTTGTTGTGCATTCTAATGAAAAGAAGTCAATTTTTCTACCGTATATTTCCCCAAAGTTGCGAGAAGACAAATTAATCTTGGTCCTTTTCCTTGTAACGTCTGCATTTTTACTTAACTTTTATGAAGCGGTGCTTGCTGGTGGAGAAAGTTACCACTTTGAGAGTCGAGATGACTTTTGTGTCATCTTCCTCATTCAGAATTCAAGAAAGGGTTGCAATAAGGAGAACCAAATCTTGGAACGTATTATTTTACGCTATTGTTAGCATTGACGGCGAACTTCCTATAACTCCTGGTAAACAAACATCTGCAACGACTTATCAATGTCGGTGTCTATGGTTTGATAAAACTGTATAATACACTAAATTTACTTGTCATTTATTTCAACCTCTTGATATTTCTTGCCCAGAAGTAATTGGGCTAAGGGGAGGCGCACAATGCTCTTTGACATCTGATTACACGTGTCTTGGAAAGAATCACGATGGAAGAGATACGTTTCGATTTTCTTAGAACAGACAGCAAAATAAAGGTACTCAGGTAGATGAAAGAAGAAGAAGAAAGATGGAAGGTAAATGTCAACGGGTGCAGTTGCGTAACGAATTTGGCTGGTCTGCTTGTGTATCTATTAGTCAACATTGGACGGCACCGTGAAAAGGTTGTATGTTTAGACCAAGAAGACACTTTTAGTGTGTGCTTGAATTTGTCTTACTTCAACATGAAAACAAGGAAAACAGACTCATTTCACAGTACAAAGAGGGACGTTACAAACGTTACAAGTTGTGTGAAATCAGTTGGCAACATGGGTTGTATAATTATTTACAGTTAGCATAGTTTGTGAAGCTACACATGTATTACATACGATTTGTGTTCTTATGATCGCATGAAGTTTGCATAGTGTACCAACAACGATGTGCACAGAGAAGCAGGAAACATAAAAACTTCAAAGGGAAAGCAAATATGATGTTAAGTAAATTTAGCTAGATAAATCAAAGTTCTTTTTTGGCATTCCTTAATGGATTTGCCTGCAGCTCCGTAATTACAGGATTTTCCTTCACATCGACAACTCAATTCATGCATACACACAAATCTTGCATTTAAGATATGTGTACAAGGGAAACATGCATAAATTAATTGGTTTAAGAGCATATAATTTTAGCCGGACGGAAAATGTCTATTGGACAAAGATTTTCGTTTTAAGTTAAAGTAAAAGGTTCTTATGGCACACTTTTTAAATTTGCCCTGGGTTAAACTTTAGTCGAAAAAAAATAATGGTCTAATTTCTATAATTAATTTTCTCATTCAAACTTTAATCAAAACATCACAAGATAAATACATAAATGTTTTAAAAGGTAGATATCTTTATCCTTCTCTTTATACGTGCAATTATGTAACCCCATTTTATTCAATCCTTTAACAAGCTTCAAATAAGTAACGAATAATAATCTGCTCCTTATTTTTATCCTTTTCCATAAAACAAGCTGCCTCGCCTAGTGAATAATACGCCAGGCCTTTTATGGCCCTGGAGAGAAACGATGTACACGCGCATCTAATCAAATTGTTTCGCTTAGTGATAATCACAAAAGAGAAATAGAGGCGAGAAACTGCTTTATTAAATGAGAACGGCATCGCCCTCCTCAGTTCCTTCATAACAGAGCCATTACCCTTATAAAACGATAGGAGAGCTAAAGCTACTACCCGTCCACCCATCATCGCGACGACTTTCTTCTTCGCCTTTTTCGTATTCATCCACTACTTATTATTATTACGTACTTTGTAAGGAATCACTTTAAAGCTATGCTTAAGCCCTCGGAATTTTACTGCCGGAAAATGTGAGGACTTTACATCTTTTACGGCTTCACACCCCGCAGCAATGCACAACAGCGATCTAAATAATGCTAAAAGACGCATGACCATTAAATTGAATCGAAATATGAACCAATATGACGATGGTCTTTTGAGTCTCTCATTTTTCCAACGAACATGCAGGAATCGTAGTAAAGCTGAGATTATCCGTGTTACGATGAAGACATTGCTGGAAAAATGGCTACCTCCAAGAGAAAAAAGGGAAATATGTAGAGCAAGAAATTTGGTTTGCTAAGAGTTTGCAGATTTCGAAAATCATAAGATGTGCCTGAGTCCTGGAGGAATAGGAAAGCTCAAAAGTGGGGGATGTTGCATGGTTGGTAGTCCTTTTTCGAATCTGGGAGAGGAAGCGGAGTAATTTATGCACGACTCTGTGAGTTTGCCAGGAGATAAAAAATGGGTTGGTTGGTTGGTGGGTGAAGTCAACTGTTGGTTTGACCCAGTTGTTGAAATTCCCGTATAGTTGTTCTTGGATGGTGCATAATTTCATTTTCTTTTTGATGTCATTACTTTCGACTATTACAGACTGTTCGTATTACTGTATTTTCATGCCATGTGCACATACTCCTGGTCAGAGGGGAGAAAGAGAAGGAGAGAGATCCGCTCTATGTATGTATGTCTACATGCTTAATAAACTCGTCGTTCTCGTGTCATTATGATTTTCTGCCTACATATACTTCAGCCAAAGTATTATACATTATCCTCTCTCCATTCTTCCACTGAAATGAAACCTGCAAGTGAATGGGATCCTTTTTACTTCCGCATTCAACAAATGCATCCAGCCACGACTGCACGTCGTGGTTGGTTGGGATGCAGATTTTTTCAAAGAATTTCTCACAATGTTCAATTACGATTTTGTCTTTGTCACCTTCAAACAATGCCAAAACCATAATTTATTTATGCATTGAAATTCCATTACCACAGAGTTAATTGGGTACGTATGTACCATACACAAAATTACGCCAAATATGTAGCATGCCAGATAGCAGGAGGCGTGTCACATCTCTTTATTAGATTTACCAGTGATTAAGACTAATAGTCAATAATACAAAAATTAGAGAACGGGTTTTGACATGGAGCCAAAAGAGTTGAATAATTTAATGATTGACATCAAAAATAGAATAATCTTTCGCAAATCACGACAAATTCTGTGCACGAGGTTGGATTATAGTTGGTCGTGGCTGGAAAGAGACATTATGAAACTGGAATCGCCCCTGGAATATTTGGAACATTAAGGGCTTTTCTCCCTTCTCGTTGTAACCGTGGTGGTGATGGTGGACGGGTGCAATAATACGAATAGAAGGTGATTTTGTCATCAAAATTTAGGCATTAAGTATCGATCACTGCGATTAGACGACAAAAACGGACTAGGAGCAGTGAGATTTCTTTTGTTGTTCGCAATAGCCAATAAGTGAAGATGCCAGAATGGGGGTGGTCCGTTCACACATGATGATGCTAAGGAGGATGACATGATAAGTACATCCAACCCTAACCTAAGTGATAGCCGGCCCAGTGGCAGTACATATGTCATAAAAATTATGAAGCTATTCTCAATTTGTATGTATTGAAGATTCCCATGAAGGCTTCTCTCTCTCGGAAGGAGCCTGTTTCGTGTGTGGCAAGAAATAAATTACGATGGGGGGAAAGATGCCAAAGAGTCGTTTCTTTATAGTAAGGAGAGGCGAATGGAAGAAAGTAAGGCTTGAAAAAATTGTGATCCCATTCTAAGCAGTGGCATCCAGCCAATTTCACCAACATCACCCCTGTGTGTTTGTCCACAATGCATCCTCTCAGTCCATGAATCTCCTCTCCCCATTCTCTCTCCGAAAAGCAGCAGACAAAACTGAACTGACAAACATATTCAACCTTTGAGCTGCTGTTCACTCCATCCCTCCCTCCTTTCTCTCCTTTCTCCAGTGAAAGTACGTCACCCGAAGCACTTGGATTTCCCATTTTGGATTTTCCACCGTTTCCGGAAACTTAAAGGCTTTTAACGCTCTTACATCCTGGCCAGTCTACGCGATCCTAATTCTTTGCACACTTGGGCATTTTGCAATGTGTGATACATGAAATACCATGCAGCCAAAGGTATTACGTCGTACGAAATGAAATGAATGGTACATACCTAAGAAGCAAAAAAATTGCAGTAAAAAAAATTGCTTGTGAGCCTGTCTGTCGGTACGCAAGGGGAGGATGTGCACAGAAGACTAGACATTCAGTGTGTAAAAATAACTCAATTTCTACTTATTTAAATACAGAGAAGCATTTATTCCCGTCAAAATGAATACTTTTTTTGTGCAAGGCTAGTCTCTCGTTAGATAACTTGGAGCCCTCCCTACTTTCTCTCCCACCTTGTTGTTAATAGCCTTGTTTGTTCCCCACCCGAGAGAAAAAGAGACGTTGATTCGCTGAGCTGATTGTGTTTCCCTCATCTCATCTCGTGTGTTTATTATTCCTCCTTCCACTTACTTTTTTGGCTTGACTTGTCTCAGAGTTGCCACACTTTGCCCGAAAGCAACGTAAACCAACACTCTTCATTCCTCCCACTGCTGCTGTGAACTATCCAATTCGTCTCAATCTGCTGCAATTGT